GTAATTGCAGGCTCTATTGTTACATGTATATGTTTATAATTGCTATATTTCTAGAGAAAATGACCCTTTTCTCAATATATAATGCCTTATTTGTCTCTGAAATAATTTTTGACTTGAGTATATTTTTGTCTGATACTAGTTTAGCCATCCCTGCTCATTTTTGGTTTCTGTTTACTTGGAATTTGTTTCCATCATTTCACCTGCAGCTTAGTTGTGTCTTTGGATCTAAAATGAGCCTCCCATACAAAGCATATAGTTGGATCGTGGGTTGCTTTTTTTTTCTCCTGTTCTGCCAATCTCTGACTTTTGTTCAATGTTTTAATCCATTTACATTTAAAAGTAATTACTTTTAAGAAGGACTTCTGCCATTTTGCTATTGGTTTTCTATAAATCTTATGTTTTTTTATTCCTCAATTCCTCCATTGTTGACTTCTGTTTTTGTTTCTTTTTTAGTGTATGATGTGGTGGTTAATTTTATGTGTCAACTTTCTGAGTAGGCTAAGGGATAATTGGGCTAAGGATAAAACATTTCTGGGTGTGTCTGTGAAGGTCTTTCTGGGATATTAGCATTTTATTCAGGAGACTGAGTAAAGAGATCTATCCTCACCAATGTGGATAGGTATCATCAAGTCCACTGAGGGCATGAATTTTTTTAAAAAAGCAAAGAAAGGATAAATTTCTTCTGTCTCTTGAGCTGGAAAGTCCATATTTTCCTGCCTTCAGAAATTGGAGATTCTGATTCTTGGGCCTTTGGAGTCCAGCAGCCTCCCATTTCTAAGGCCTTTGGCCTTGGGCAGGGAATTACACCATCAGGTTCCCTGGTTCTTTGGTCTTTGGACTCAGTTTGAATTACACTACTGGTTCCTAGTTCTCCAGGTTGAGGACAGCAGATGCGGGACTTTGTGCCTCCATAACCACATGAACCTTCCTCTAAGTTCATATATGTTTATGTATACACACCCACACACACATATACACATACCAATTCCTTTAACAAATATGTACATCTGGATTCGTATCTCCTAGTTATCTCCTCTATCTATATCTACACACTGGTTCAGTTTTTTCTAAGAACCCTAATACACATGGTTTGGATTCCTTTCTCATTTCCTTTTCTGTGTATTTCTTTATTTTCTGTATATTAGTTATTTTCATAGTGGTTACTCTGGGGATTATACTAACAATCTAGTTTGAATTAATACTAATTTAATTTGAGTACTATATAAAATCTCTGCTCCTGTATAACTCCATCCCCTTTATCCCTTGCTATGTTGTTGATGTCACAAATTACATCTGTATGCATTGTGTGCCCAGTTAGCATGGATGTATATTTATTGTTTTGTGTATTTGTCTTTTAAATCATATAGGAAAAAACAGAGTAGTTAAAAACTGAAAATACAATAACATTGGTTTTATGTTTACTTATGTAGTTAACTTTATCAGTGTTCTTTATTTCTTCATGTAGTTTCAAGTTACTCTGTAATATTCTTACCTTTCAATATAAAGGACTCTCCTTAGCATTTCTTGTGAGATAGCCTTACTAATGACATACTTCCTCAGCTTTTATCTGGAAATGTTTCTATTTCTCTTTCATTTTTGAAGGATAAACTTGCTTAATATAGAATTCTTGGTTAATGGGTTTATTTTATCTTTGAGCATTTTAAATATGTCATCCCCCTGCCTTCTGCCCACCATGATTTTTTAGGAGAAATTGATTGTTAATCTTACTGAAGAGTCCTTATATGTGATGAGGTACTCTTCTATTTTGGCTTTCAGGATTCTCTCTTTGTCTTTGACTTTGAACAATTTTATTGTGTCTCAGTATGGATGTCTTTGAATTTATCCTACTTGGAGCTTATTGAGCTTCTTGAAGAAATCTCAGATTTTGGATTATTTTTGGCAATTATTTCTTCAAATAGTCTTTCTGCTCCTTTCTTTCTTGTCCTTCTGGAACTCCCAACATAATATGTGTATGCTGGCATTCCTGATGGTGTTCCAAAGTATGTTAGGCTGTACTAATTTTTCTTCATTGGTTTTTCTTTCTGTTCCTTGAATAATCTCAATTGGCCTCTCTCCAAGTCTGCTGATTCTTTTTCCATCTCTCCAGATCTGTGGTTGAATTTTTCATTTCACTTATCATACTTTTCAACTCTAGGATTTCTGGTTGGTTACTTTTTATAATCTCTGTCTCTTAATCAATATTCTCTATTTGGTGGGACATTGTTCTCCTGGTTTCCTTTAGTTTTCTTTAGCACTTTGAGGATAATTAAGACCTTTGATTTAAAATCTTTGTCTAATAAGGTTCATCTCTGGATTTCTTCAGAAGTTTTTCTTCATTTACTTTTTCCTGTGAAGGGAGCCATACTGTCTTACTTCTTTGCATGCCTCATAATTTTTTGTTAAAAACTGGGCATTTTGAATATTTTAACATGTTAACTAGAAATCAAATTCTCCCTCTCTAGGGTCTGTTTTTGCTACTTTTAGTTTGTAGTCATTTGATGACTTTTCTAAACTGCTTTTACAAAGGGAATATTCTTTGTCATGTGTGGTAACTGAAGTTTCTGGTTAGCTTTGTGGTCAGCTAGTGAAATTTGACAGAGGTTTCCTTAAATACCTGGAGCCAAAAGTGAAAAAAAGGCTCTCTCAGCCTTTGCAGATTGATGGGGTTGGAGAGCATCTTTGGGCTCTGCTTTAGCCTTCACTTCCCATGTAGGCAGGCCCAGAGGTCAGCTGGGGGTGAAAGCTTAAGGTTTTCACAGGCCTTTTCTAAACATGGTTCTGACTCTGGACACACATGTGCCCCTTTAGATTTCCTGGTACGCATGGAACCTTTCAAGGCTTTATTGCCCCCAGCATTTTTCTTCCCAGGCTTTTTGGTCTGTTATCAGGAGGTTGTAGCTGGTATATTTCCTTTTAAATGCTCTTTACAAATGCTGCCCAGGAAGCTGCTCCATCCCTACAAAAGTTCCAAGGTGAGCAAAGCAAAGACAGGTAGGTCCCTTAGCCAGTCCCTTCAGAGAACCTCCAGGCATGTCAAACCACACTACCACAATTCCTTGAAAGCAGTCCATATTACCCTCTCTGGGATCAGCAAGCCACTTCAGGAACATGAGCTGCCATCCCCATAGATGCCACTAAGCTGGGAGTCAGGGATGTAGGTGGGTAAGTTAAAACACCGTAATAGTCTCTTACCAAACTTTAGTGGTTTGTTTCTTTATTAATTATTCCCCTGGTTGTTCTAAGTTTTTAAGTTAGTTTTCAGAGCTCTGATAAAGTTTATTCTGACAGTTTTTGCCAGCGTAATTGTTGTTTTAATGGAGACACCTAGTCTTGTAGTTCTCTATACTCTGCCATTTTTAGTGATATCACTCCTATGTTTTTATAATAAAAAATCATTTCTATATATTTTTATGAATTATATGTTCACCTCCTTGACCATATTTTATTGGGTAATTAAGTTTCTCCAATTCATTCATAGTTCTTTACATAGCAAGGAAGCCAGCCGGCTACTTGTGATTGGAGTTTCCTATGCTTCCTATTTATTTGTCATTTTCTTGTGATGGTTTCACCACCCAGGGATTTTTATTTTTTTCTTTTGTGTAGTTGAATTTGTCGATCTTTTTCTGTCAGGACCTATGGACTTTGGAGTCATAATTATAAAAGGCCTTCCCTGCTCCAAAATAACAAAATGATTCTCAAGTATATTCTACTAGAACTTCTGTGGCTTAATATTCTCACATTTAAATCCTTGATCCATTTTGGATTTATCTTAGTATAAGTTGTGATTAATAGATCCAACCTTTTCCCCTTGCCCAAATGTTCACATTCTTGAACAAGAGATACTCTTGTTTTCTTTTAGCAAGTATTTATTAATGTCAAATAGCCTCTGAAAAAAAAATTGCCTCTGTTTTAGGAGGACCTGATTTCTAGTCCTAGTAGCTCTTGCCACTTAATTACCATATGAATGTAGGCAGTCCATTCATCTGATGAGAACCTTGATCTGTAAACAGTGATAACAGTTTCTGCCCAACCTATCTCACTTGGTTACTATACAATTAACCAAGACGCTGTCTATTCCAAGGGCTGTGGAAGCTCTTGAATGCTAAAAGCACAGTGTAAGGCAGTGGTACCGATAAGAACAAAATCATAGCAGCACTTATATTTGGGTGGTGCTTTGTCCCATCTAAATATAGCAACCCAGTGCAGTGTCTGGCATACAGAATGTGTTTGATAGGTATTTATTTGCATATTTATCAAATCTCTATTAAATCTTTACTATTTGCCAAAGGCTACTGTTTAGTCCACTGAGCAAAATACTCCAAACTCGTGAACTCATGGAACTTATATTCCATTGAGATGAAAAAGTACAATAGCCCCAATAAATTAGTAAAATATATAGTATGTTAGATAGTGAGCAGTGGTAAGAAGGAAAATAGGCAGGGAGGGCAAAGGGCATTGGAGCAGAGGGACACAGTTCTGAACAGGATGGTCTGAGAAAGTCTCACTGAGAAGTGGGTATTTGCATAAAGACTAAAGGCAGGTGGAGAATAGACTGAATGGGGGCCAGGAGAGAAAGCAAAAGCCCTGCTAGGAGGCACTTGCTAGCATCCAGGCAAGAAGTGATGGAGGCTTGGACTATGTTAGTAGGAGAGGGGGGACAGGAAAAGTGGGATTCTAGACCTTTCCTTAATGTAGGGTGGACAGGCTTGCTGATAGATTGGATGGATGTGGGGAGAGAGAGAGGTGTTTGGGATGACTCCAGAGGTTTTGTTGAATGGATGAGGCAGTCACGTGTTAATTCTGTTTTACACACCTGAGGAACCAGCACAGAGAGGTTAGGGCACCCATCCAGGGTGGTGCTGCATGTTGGTGGCAGAGGCCAGGCCAGAGCTGCACGCAGCCCAGGGACTCTGCTGCATCAAGGTGCAGATGCAGGGGCTAAGAGGGCACAGGCCGGAGCTCTGCCCACTGAGCACCCAACCACTTGATCCTCCTCGCAGAGGGAAGGCCTGGCAGGTGCGCAGCCCCACCAGGTGGGCAACCTCACCCTCTGACTGCCCGCTGATGCTGCGGAAGCTCATTTGCAAGGAAGACATCCAGGCTGGCTGCAAGTGCACGATGAAGGCACCACTGGTATCTGATGTGGAGCTCGAGTACTTCCTGTCGGCACCCCGAGATCCCAGCCAGGTGCTAGTGGTCGGGATTGTCTCAGGCCAGCACCCTGCCAGCACAGCAGAGCTTGAGTGGCTGCTCGACACACTCTACAGTCACCGCCAACAGGGCCGTGCCTCACCCTGCATCCAGGTTGGTCCCAGGCCCAGCCAAGGAGACTCCAGGGTCTGGGAACTGGGAAAGACCCCCACAGAGGGCAAGGATTGGCGGAGCATTTGTCTGAGAGGCTGCCCTCAGCCTCAGCATGTGGGCCTTCTCTCACTGTCTCTTCTCTTCAGGGACTTTGCTACTTTTCCTACTACCTACCATCTTCCACCCTCTCTTCTCTCTCCCACTCATCCTCCTGTCCCAGGATGAATGTCACCACATTGAGGTGGTTGCCTTTTCCGACCCTGAGGCAAGGTCAGGGCACTGCCATTTTCTTCCAGAGCAGTTTGTGATTGTGTGTTGGTGTGAGTAGAGCAGAGAGAGGCTCATGGCTGCATCCTCAGTTCTCAGGAATATTCGTAGGCAGCGGCTGAGTGCCTGCTGTGCACTGGTCCTGGGCCCGGCCCCAGAGGGTCTCCTGGCGTGGTAGGGCAGCAACTAGAGCAGTCCCCAGTGAGGACCATGAAAGGATAGCACAGGACCTGCTGCCCCTCGAGGTTCAGGGAGAGTCTCCGGGATGAGGGGGCTTTGGGAGGTGGGGGAGTGTTCCCAACCCTGGCAGCAGCCTGTGCAGAGGTAGACAGGGGCAGAGGGCCACTGGGTGCCCAGTTTATTGTGGCTGAAGTACCAAGGGTGGATCAGTCAGGGGGCATGGAACGCACCCCACCTCCTTGCTGCAGAGTCATTCCTGAGTGTCATGATCATCCCATGTCAGCAGCCATTCCTGGCAGGGTTCACACAGTTCAAGGGGAGGCCCTGTGCCCAGACCAGCTGGAACAGAGGACCCTGAGTGAGCCTGGGAGCTTCATGACAGCTCCCTTCAGATCCTGTCTTCCTGTGCCCTCTCCAGTCCCTTGTGCTTTCCCTGTCGCCCTTTGCTCCTCCCCAAGTTCTAAGGGTCTGTGTGTGCCTCAGGCTGACCGTCTCCAGCTCCCCTTACAGTGATGCCACCTCCTTGAACCCCACCCACACGCCAGCCCTCAGCCTGCACTGCAGCATGATGCTGGGACCCTTCTGATCAGACACCAGAAGCCTTTTCATTAGTCTCACACACTAAAATCACACGTTTTCTGGTCAACTTCAATTTATTTAGAGTCAGTGAACACTTACTGAGTACTGCTCTGCACACATCGTGTGTAGACAGATATAATCCCTGCCCATGTGGGAATTCAGAGTTGACTTTAGTGTATTTTGGGGCTATTAATTGTTTACCAGTAATTGTCCATAAGCATAGGAGTGCACGGTGGTCCATCCCTGCTGTGAGCAGCATGAATGGGGACAGGCCTGGCCTGAGGTGGTTGAAGCTGATGGAGGAATGGGCAGCAGGACTTGAGGGTTGCAGAGGACAGACCTGGAGGGTGGTGTTGGATTTCACAGTGACTGGTCCCACCATTCCTATGTCTTTGGTCACAGCAGAAAGGACCCTGGCATTCCCTTGTTCTGACAGCCAGAACACCTGGTGCATCTCTGGGTTCCACATTTTAAACTGGAGGGTCAGGCAGGACGGCTGGAGGTACTGGGACAACTAAAAGGCAAATCAAACCGGATAACATCACGTTGTTTTAACAGATGTCATTAGTCATATTAATAGATGTCTAGAATCCAGAAGGAGAGAAGGGAAAGAGACTGGCTTTCCTCTGGATTGCCCAGGCCATAGCTTGAGGTGTAGGTTCAATTCAGGTACTGGAACTGGATTTAATGACTGGGACATGTCCAAGGGGCAGCCAGCAGGGGCATAGGAGGTGAGGGAATCCTGGAAACTGGTACATCTGCGTACACAGTACACTTTACATCTCCGCAGGGCTTCCACAGGCAGCGGGAGCAGTCAAGTTCTGCAGACCCCAGAGGGCTGGGTAGGGGATGTCATGTGGTGGGGGGGCGCCCATCTCCATGGTGGCCTTCACCAACAGAGGGCCCTAAATGGGTGCATCCTCTGGGGATGGTCGTGGGAGGTATGCACACACAGGCTGAATGCCCTGTCGAGCAGGAGTTGGGAGCCGGCTGTGTGGGGGCTTCCAGGACTCCGTGGGAACCTGACCTAGCTGAGGCTGCAGGCAGCCAAGCACACTGGCCTGGCATAGGACTGACAGGCATTTTCCTCTTGGCAGTGCCTGCACGACCCCTACCGCCTGCTGCACTACGACCTGCACAGCCCCCTGCAGAAGACGCCACCCCTGCTGGTGCAGAAGTATGCTGTGGTGCAGGGGATGGTTCTGGTGAGCTGGGGCCTAGAAGCAAAGGCTGGGATGTGGGGCTGCCCTCTGCCTTGGGGGGCGGCCTTAAAGGGAGCCAGGCTTAGCCACACACCCTTGGGCGACTCGGGGAGGGCAACACCCCTTCGCTGGAACTACCAGAGAAAGGCCTGGATGCCGGCACAAGCTCTGCGAGCCAGTGGCGCTGTCCTGAGATCTGGAGCTGGTACGCTGAGAGCCTCTCCTGCTCCTCCCTTCCTCTGTGTCAGCAGATGGTTGCTGGAGGGAGGCTCCTCTTCGGGGGCTGCGTTTTGAATGGATATGGCTTCAGCAGGCAGAATTTGCTGAAACAGATCTTCCAGGCTCGACATAACTACAAGATGGGCTACTTCCTGCCAGAGAACTACAAATTTAGGTAAAACAGGAAAAACTCTGGTAGCACGAGGTCCCATTCCTGCTTTGGCCACCAGTCCACATCTGTCCCTCACAGTTTGTCCCACAGCCTGAAAGTCCAGTGTGAGCACAGCGCCCGCTCTGTGAGGCGGGCTCTTGGGGTGCCCTGCAGTGCAGCTCCTTTGCAGGGGGAAGAGCCTCGATGAGCAGCCAGCCAGGCTGAGCTGAGCGTGGGCAAGAAGAGGGAGCCTGTGGGGTGGCATGGCTTTGGAGGAGCTGCTGTGGCCCTCATCTTTGTCTCCCTGGACTGGGCTGAGAGGGGCTGCACCCAGGTAAGGCTCAACAAAGGCTCCTGGCACAGAAAACAGAGCCACGGTCGAGGCAGGACCACCTTGGGGACAGAGCTGTCTTGGAGGCCACTGTCCCCCACTGGTGGCCCCATGTCTTCTTTCCCCTCTTCATTTATTCAGCAGGTGGTGACCCTCTGCCTCCCCCCAGGGGCAGCCCTGTGCTGGGCACTGGGTCCGCACCAGCTCAGCCCCTCCTTGCCCTCTCAGGTTCTCTGATGTTCTGCAGCTCTGGTGGGGTTCAGGCGGTGGCACCTAAGGATGGGAATGCTCATCCTTACCCAGCCAAGCCTCTGGGCCCTCGGATGGAGGGACAGAGAGAGCCCCGAGCGAGGGAGGGCTCAGCAGCCTGGAGCAGTTAGGAAAGCTCCCTGTGCAGTGGGCATCAACCATGTGGGAAGCGCAGGCCGAGCCCACACAGGGCAGCTCCTGGAAGAGGCAGCTGCCTAGGGAGGGTGGGCTGTGTCCACCTGGACACTCAGTCGCTGCTCTTCCCCGCCTCCCTCATCTGCTCAGGTTGCCCTTAATAGTGGCCAAAAGAAGTCACATGTTCTTTTCAGACCCTGCGATCTGTGCTGCACTGCAGTAGGGTCAAAGACAGGGCAGGAAGGGTGGCCAGGCAGAGCCATGAGACCCTCCTGGGAACACCAAGCAGCTCAGGGTGCCAGGAGCCCCCAAGGGTAATGATGGAGGTGGGTGCCAACGTTGGCAAGAGGCGAGATAGGGCTGCCTGATTCTCACCAGGGTATGACTCGTTGCTGAGAGGGCCTTTGACTAGGATGGTGGCTGGGGCTGCTTTGTGGGGAAGGCGCCCTGGCTGACACTGGAAGATGCCCCAGGGGGAGGGGGGATGAGACTGGAGGGCACTGGATTCTTTGACACAGCCCCAGCGCTGGAACCTCCAGAGAGACAGTCTCCATCAGCCCAGGGCCTGCGTTCATCTGAGGGCAGGTGAGGCCATTTCCCCCCGTCAGTCTGTCAACTTCCCGTATGCGAAGTGCCTCATGTGCCGTCACAGCCCGGGAGGGACCTGGCAGAGGGCCCCACGTGGGGGCCCCTGGGGATACCTGCCCCATCCTGGTCATCCGAATCGCGTTGTGTAATCTGCTTTCAGAAGCTTTCTCCTGGGATCCTCTGCCTGCACGCTGTTGGGCTTGACTCCATTTCTCATGTAGTTAAGCTTTGAGTTCCTAAGAAGTGCTGAGTTGTGACCCATGCCAGAAGCAGGAGCAGGTTGAATGGGGAGTGAGGGGAATCATAGAGCCTTCATGCCTCCCCGGGGACAGGGGAGGCAGCCCAGTTCGCACCTGGGGGCCACAGAGCATGGATTCTCTCTGCATCTGTGCAGACGCGCCTGCCCTTGCCACACTGCCAAGGGCCTGGCCTGGGGCCGGCATGGGGTGGTGTTGAGGAGAGTGAAGTCGTGGGCTACAAAATGAGCTGCCTACAGAGAGGCTGACCTAGGCCAGGAAGCCCTACTGCAACCCTCCTGCTTTGGAGCAGGTTGCCTGCGAGGGCAGGGCTGTGCGCTGGAGGGGCAGGTGCTTAGGCTGCACCGCAAACATGGCTTTAGATGGGTCACTTGCCCTCCCTGGGCCTCAGTTACCTCTCTGTAGCTGGGAGGACCCATCATTCTTGCAGGAGTGAGTTGAGAGAGTCAAAAACTACAAGGGGCGATGCACTCTGTAGTGACCAAGTGGTTTGTAGACTGTTGTGGGCCCTGTGACCTGCAGAGCCTGGTGTGAGCTGGAATATGCCTGGTAAACCACTGAGCACTTGCCAAACTGCTGTGACATCTGTAAAAGATGAAGTTCTTTGTAAAGTGCCACGAGCCCAATAAATTCCAAAGGGCTTTGGAAGCGGTGACATACCCTGTAAACTACTGTGAAGTGTCCTGTAAACTGCTGCATGACCTCTACCCAGACTGGAAGATGGACCTGCTCCAAAGCACTTTGTGAGCTGTGAGCCCTGTAAAGTGCTTCTTAAACTGGAATGGACCCTGTATCATACAAAGCATTTTGTAAACTGCAAGACACTCTATAAATGACAAAGCAGCCTATAAACTGTCAAGTGCTCTGGAAGTGCAGAGTACATTACAAACTGGGAAGGCTGTGTAAATGCCCATGTAATCCTTGATAGGCTTTGTACACTGTAATGTTCCTTACAAACTGCAAAGCAAAGGTTTTGTACACTGGAGCCATCCATCTTCGAGGGGAAGGCTCTCCACAATGGTGCCACTTCGTGACACTCACGCCTCTCGCCCACCTTAGGATAGGCAGGCAGCCACGCTGTGGTAGGAGGAAGAGAGGTAGGAGCGACCAGGGCAGTGTCAGGAGATGCGGGTCTCCTGGGCTGGCTGCGCTCACCAGGACCCCTGTGAGGATGGCGCTGTGGAGAGTGGGCCCAGCACTCGGGAGAGCCAGCCACCACCAGGCCCTGCTCCGCAGCGCTGCTCTGAGGGAGGGTGACCCGCCCTCCGCAGCTGCTCACACAATGCTGGCTTCCTCCCTCCACCCAGCGCAACTGCCCTGGGGCCTGCCTCCAAGGCCTCGCTCACTGTCTGGAGGCTCCCCAACAGCTCTTGCGGAAAGGCAGAGTCAAGCCAAGCCCAGGGAGGAGGGTGCAAGTCCTGGGGGTCAGGGACGGGGCATGCCAGAGCTAGCCCTGAACCTCCATGCCCTTCCTGGTTGCCTCTCCACCCCCGCAGGCAGGCAGCTTTCCTTACAGCGTGGTGGTTCCCAGCAAGGCTCTGGTTCAGCCTCCAGGGTTGGTGGCACTATGGGCCAGTTGCTGATCTGCTCTGGGTCAGGCCACTCAGTTAGGGAACCCAGAGATGGGTGAGGTGTGGGCCAGGTGTCCTTGGTGAGGTAAGACTCACGAGCTCGGAGAGGAGAACGTGGAAGCCAGGCCTAGGCTCTCTGTGTGATGGGTCACTGCGGATCCATTCCTGGAGGAGTCCTGGGAAGACCGGTTGGCGCAGGGACCCCAGGCACTGGATAGGCAGGGGAAGGGCATGTCAGGGACATGGACTGGGGGCCTGAAAGGGCTGAGTGGGGAAAGGTTACCTTCTTGAAGTGGACCAGGGGCTCAGAAAGAGGGGGCTGGCCTCCGAGCCATGAAGAGGTGGCTTTCATGTCTGATAGAATCAGCTCTTATGCTTTCCTTCTCACTGAAGCAAGTACGAAGTTTTTTTAAATTGCTGGGGGCCTGGCCTGTTACAAACCTCCAGATGGTCTTTTCTACTTGTCCCTGACCAGAAGTGGTCTTACCTTCCATCTCTGCATCACCCTCCCTGGGAGGCACCTGGCCGGCTGTCACCCCAGCAGGGTGGCCTTGTGGCCTCACGGGTGTGGTCACTTGCATTTTTCTGATGTCCCCATCATTTAGTTCATCTGTTCTCTGCTCTCATGCATACTGAGAGCCACACCAAGTTGCTAAGATCATATCCTCCCCTCAGGTGATCGGAGGCTGATCCGTAGAGCTGTGAACCCTGCTCCATCATAAGCAGTAGAGGAAATCACTCCTGTGAGTTTAGGGAGGGCTTCCCAGAGTTGGTGACATGGGAACCTGGCCTTGAAGGAGGAGTGGAAGGCCCAGCAGACATGGGGAGGGAAAAGGCATTCCTGGCAGGGGCCCGGGCCGGCAAAAGCAAAGGTGCGCTTTGAGGGCCAGGGAGCAGCATAGCTGTGGATTCAATACCGGCTGCCAGGGGCTCTTAGAAAAATGTGATGGTGGTTTGGGGTCGGATTCTGATTGGCCTTGAGCAGGTCATTGCTCCAAGGAGTTGGGGCTCGCCACAGCAGAAGTCGGGGAGCCACAGACTGCTCTTAAGCAGGAAAGACAAAGCCAGGTCCCGGAGGATGAGCCCTCGACAGCAGTGGATGCTGGATGGGAGAGGATGATGCTGGAACCAGGGAGGCCAGAGGCAAGGCCAGCGCCCTCAGTGGGCTGCTTCAGGCCTAGTGGGACTGGGAGGCTGGCTGTGAGCTCAGGAATAAATACCTGTGTTTATTCCTAGAACCTGGCTTGGGGTAGGTGCCCAGTAAATACTTTGTGAGTGACTGAGGGAGGCAAGAAAGAAGACATTTCAGGGACTGTACTTCTTTCTGGGCCTTTTCCTCTACATTCCCCAAGTATCTTGTGCCACCCAGAGAGCCTGGGGATCTTCTCATCAGCCCAGCCCTCCCCCTGCACCCCACTCCTGCCCTCTGGCACTGGCAGGGATGGAGGCCTGCACCCCTGGGCTTTGCCTAGACTCCTCCGCAGGCTGCCGAGGACCTGGCTTCTCAGAGGGCCTCAGATAGGCCTTTGTTCTTGTCTCCAAAGGTGGTGCTGCAGAGGGTCACTTGGACTCTGTATGCCTGCTCCCCATGGGGCAGGGTGGGGGACCGCAGAGTAAGGGGTGGAGGGAGGCTTTAGTTTGCTAAATGCAGACTTTGCAGGTGTACCTGGATTCTGTGAGCCTGCTTTGGTATTTCTCCCATTTTTACTTTTACTAGGGTCCCAATGATGGAAGATGCTCTCCTCTCTGCTCCCTGCTTGTCTCTTGTCTCTGAAATGTCCTGCCTTGAAGCACGTTGCAATAAATAGGAAGAGACAGCAAATGAAAGGACCAGTCCTGTCTGCCGTGACCCCACTATATGCCCTTCAGTGACCTCATTCTCCTCTCTGCCCTTGACAATAGCCCTGAACTTTCTGTTTCCTGGGGCTGCTGGGATGCTCAAAACCACCTTACGGCCCAGGAAGTGCGTGTACACTGAGTGGCTGCATGGGGTGTGTTGCAAAGGTGGGGTGTGGTCATTGCATATTCATTAGTTTCCCAGGGTGGCCTTAACAGCGATTCTGCGAACTGATTGTCTTAAACAAATTTATTGTCTCGTGGTTTTAGAGTCTAGAAGTCTGAGGTCAAAGTGTGGGGAGATCATGCTCCTGCCGAGGGTGCATGGGAAGGCTCATTCCAGGCCTTTCTCCTTGCTTATGGCAGCAGCTTGGCTTGTGGCAGCATTTCTCCAGACTCCACATGGCATCCCCGTATGTGTGTGTCCACATTTCCCCCTTTTCATGGGACACCAGCTTTATTAGATTAGAGGTCCACCCAAACAATGGATGACTTCATTCTAACTCAGTATCTACAATGACCCAGTTTCCAAATATGACCACATTTCTGGCCTACTGGGGGTTGGGACTCTGGCATGTGAATTTTGGGGGTCACACAGTCAACCCTTAACACTACACCTGATGGCTTATTTTCTTGGCCTCCTGTCCTTTGTGTGGTTTATGGCACCCTTCCACCCCCCGCTGCAGGCTGTTACAGGGGTCAGTGCTGAGTCTGGAGGCATCACTGGCACAGAGTTAGGGCAGCTCTAGCTTTAAACAGAAGCCAGGGGTGCTGACCTCCCATGAGCCCCTGGGCCCCTGGGGGGTATGTTCTTTCCTTATCTGACCATGGAGAAGCACCTGCTCCCTTCTCCTCCAGGAGCCAGAGCACTGAAGGGGCAGCGCCAAGAGAGTGCTGCTTGCCTGGGCGCCCCCGGCTCTGGGCCCCCTCTGACTGCACCTCTGCTGAGCACTGCCTTCCCTTCCCTGCTTCCCCCTGCAGCATTTCAACCTCCAGTCCGGGCCTGGAAGACCCTGACTCAGCCAAGAGAGCAGTATCAGAAGACATCCAAGGAAGCTTCTCCTCGCTGGCCATGGGGGAGAAGACGGAGAAGTCCTCCCCTGAGGCTGAGAAGTAAGTGGCCGTCCAGCCTGGGGCCGAGGGGCTGTTCTGGCTCACAGCAGGGCCTCTGGCCCTCCTCAGGCCACATGCAGGGCTAAGTGGCCTTAGGTGTCACTTCTCCTCTGGGAGTGGGTCATCTCCAACAATCCCTGATGCCTGGCCTGTTTTCCAATACAATGTCCAGTTGGGCATCAGGCTGCTTGCTGGAGCTGTTGGCAGCAGTCTGGGTGGTGGAGCCTGAAGCCTGTTGTAGACTTCTCAGCGAAACCCCACAACCCAGACCCATCTTTCTGAGAAGGGTGGAGACTACCCACTGTCTTCCTGCAAGAAACTCTAGACCTGTCAGAAGTCCACTAACTTGGCCATGTTAGCTGGGAAGTGCAGCTCGTGTGTTCCGCAAGAGTGTGAAAATCACACATTTCTCATGAAGATAGAAAACCAAGATTTTGAGCACCTGGAAAGATCACAGGTGCTGCGGGGACCCCCAGGTTGGAGCAGTGCCCATAGGGCCTCAACTGTACAGAGGCGGAGGGCCATGCCCACCTTGGCCAGGGCCAGGGCTGGGCTCTGGGCGCCGTCCAGACCAGCCATCTCTACCCCTTTCCCAGCATTTGCTTCTCTCTATTTTGAATTTTAGAGTGAAGCAGTTTGCAGTGGATTTGCATCATCTCAGCAAAGCCAGGAGGGACAGTAAGAAGACAGCCGCCTGGAAGAAACAGGCCTCCAAGGAGTGATGCTGCCCCTGCGGCCACCCGGAACACCAGGCCTGGACACTGCTCCTCCCGTACCCACCCTGGCCTCCCAGGCCCTGGCTTCCCAGTCTCCCACCCTCTTCCTCTGAGCCTCTATGTAATAAACAGACATGCCTCCAGTGTCTGGGTGAGGCCGTGGGATAGGCCGGTGCCCAAAGGCCAGAGGCCTCCCAACAGGGCAGTTCCAGGCTGAGCCTCAGGAACGCGGTTCCCCCGAATACAGAGCTTCCTCTGTGGCCGGTTAAGTCAGCTGAAGAATCTCCCACTGCCACACAAACAAATGTCTCGCCCCAGGGGCCACTCTAAATGACACATTGATCCTGGGAGGTCTAGAATGGGACTGAACTGTGTCCTCCTGCCTTTCTTTGGGTGGGGAAGGGCTCAGATTCTGGTCCAGGTGGAACACAGAGTGAGAGAGAGAAGGAGACAGAGAGAGAGAGAGAGTGTAGATGGGAGAAGAGTCAAAGGAGAGGGTGAGGAGAGAGAGAACAGGGAAGGAAGGGAGGTGCTAAGAGGGTAGGAAGGAAGAACAAAAGAGGAGGGAGAATACAGGGTAAGTGGAGGGAGAGGGAGGGGGCATGGAGTAAGGTGGAAAAGGCAGTGTCAGGCCACAGGCAAGGACCTTTGGTGGCTCCTGGAAAGGCAGGGTCCTTGTAGCCCCCATGTGCTAGCATCCCCACCTAGCCCAGCCTCAGTGTCCTTTGGTGGACTGGGCACCCCTTCTCTGAGCTGGCAGACCCGAAGAATCCTCCCCATTTTCATGGCCCAGAGATGGCAGCCCCCTCTGGTATGCCGTCTCCTCCTCGGCGGCACCTGAGGGGCAGACAGGACACCAGCTCGGGCTTGTTTGTGTGAGGTTCCCAAGAGACACTTCCCGGGAGCCTGGTGAGGATCCCAGAGGGTCTGCCTTGTTCTGCAAATCTTCAGGCCCTGATCTATGGGTGGTGTTCAGTGACATGCTCTACATTTAACTTTTTAAATCTGAGTTTTTTTAGATTTAATTTTCATCCTTTGTCTTATTGAAAGGCTTTTTTAAAAGTTAGACATTTGTCCCCCTAGAAATGTACTTGAAATGACATGCTGTGTTCTTAAGGCTGCATCCTTTGATACCTAAGGGCCTGGTATTTATTAGGGTCTGGAAGCCTAGCCACTTTTCCCTCTACCCCTCCTGAGCATGAGGACGCACGAGAATCCGAAGGCAAGGAGAAGCAAGTTCCGCCTCTGTCCTGGTGTGCAGGCATGCTCTGGCTCCTCGGGCAGGACTCTGATAGAGGTCGAAGTGGAGATAGCCACTCACTCTTGGACCTTCCACCCTGAATCCGACCTTTGGGTCTGTCTGCTCAACTCTGCACTTCAGCAGCCGCATGCATAGGGAGCACAGGGTAGGCCTGTGCCCAACCGAGGGTGCTCACCATGCTGAAATGGGGCCTACAAGCTTCACACAGGCAGTAATGCCTCCTGCTGGTGGAACAGGGCCCAGCAGATGTCCAATGCTACATAATCAAATTGTCCCCTGCAGAGGAGGGAGAAGAGGGAAACAGCAGGAAAAGGGGATGAGGCTTTACCCCCCAACAATGCCCAACAAACCAGGCACGAGGGGAAAGTGTGAGATTATCTGACAAAGTCATAAACTCTTGTCTGACTAGAGTAGCTGGATTTTTCCTTCAAGCTCTCTTCTGTCAGAGTCCTTGGCTATAGGGAAGTCCAAGGCTTTCTAAAGTACAAAGGGGTGGCATGACTCAAGTGGATGCTCCAAAGATGGCAAACATATTACACACAGGCTGCTTGCAGGCATCTTTAACCAATCACAGTGCTCTGCACCCAGGTGATGCCTCAGAATCCATCTTCAGCACAAAGGACCAGGCAGCCACTACCAGTGGTAGTTAACTTGGCCAGTCTTGGCCATCCATGGAGTTAACCCTCTCCTCTGCCTGGTAAGTTTAAAGGAAGACTTCTTAAGAGGAAGTGATGGTAGACTTAAAGCTAGAGTCTAGAGGGGAGGTTTTATTAGGAGGCCTTGCTGTGTGTTGTCTGTGCCAGCAGGGAAGGGGTGATCTGATTACTCCCAGGTACCCGGCTGGCCGGGGAAATGTATAATGGTCCCAGGGCCTCTGGGAAATGGGAGCAGAATCTCCCCTTACCACTGAGCACTCAGTTCTCATCACCCTGGTTCTTCAGGTTCCCCCAGTAGAAGGCCCAGGAGAGGGGAAGACCATGAATATGCTCTGAGTCAAAGAAAATTGAAGCCAGAAGGAAACCCAGCCATCAAGGTATCTAATCTCTTAGCTTCGTAAAGAGGGAGACTGAAGCCCTGAGGAAGGAAGGGATTTCCAGAGACCATACAGTCAGTGCACACGGCAATTTGGCAAGGTCTCTGATAGCAAGTCCACTTTCTTTCCTCCACTCTATTCCCCTGTGTGGGAATGGACCCAGGGCCAAAGAAAGGGGGAACCACGAGGGCAGCAAGACAATGTTTAGACTTCCATTTCTAGCAATATTATGGGTTAAAATGGCCTGAAAAAAACATACCACTACAAAATAAATAGAAATACTGAAAACATGTCAAATACTCCTTTAATTGCATATCGGAGCCCTCAAGGTAGTAAGGAAAATCATCAGGGTCTGAAAATAAGACTCAGGAAACCAAGTGGTAAGCAAGCACTAGGATCACAGCCGCCCTGAGGCTGTTTTTTTGATCCCGATGACCCAGAACCTGGGCTTTAATGGTTGTAGGGAGACATGAGACAAAGCTTTGGTCCTGAACAAGATGCCAAGCCTTGAATGAGATTCCCAAATAAATATCTGGGACCCTTGATAGAAACAAAATGATAAGATAAGTTGAATGTCTCAGTCTCAGAGAAAAAAATGTTTTGGTTGAGGATCCTGAGAATTATAACCCAGGTCTGCATTCATAGAGGTTTTAGGTTTGCATTATGTGTGTGCTGTTGGCTCTGGAAAGCTTCAGGATGTCTGGCAGAAGTAAACACAAATCCTCTCTGCAGATGTTCACTCTCAATCTTGATTTCATAGGATTCCCATGGAGAGGTACAGTTGAACATGAGCTCACAATCTGAAGTTTAAAGATACAGGCCAAAGCAAATGAAAACAGAAATACCAGACATTAGACATCCAAGACTTTGGATATTGGAATTGTCAGATGAATGTGTTTTCAACTATTGAATGAAGGAACTAAGAACATAAACAAGGAACCAGATATGATCAAACAAAAAAGAGATGGACTGAATTTTGCCACCAGACATGTTGGAGTATAACTGGTACTGGAGTCCTCCTGACACAACTAGCCAGGACAAGGAAAACTACGTTAAGTTCAGCAATCCCCCCAACTTTCTGCGAAAGGTGTTTTCTGGATCTTGGTGTAGGGAAGGAGAAATCAAGCAGCATGTAACAGTATTGTTGAACTGAGGAGAGAAATCAACTATTAGGGGAGACAATGGTGAATGGAATTTATGGGCCAGGGTATCAGAGAAGAGGGAGGTATGCAGAGAGAACTCTAATCTGCATAGGGGTGTCCTTGAGTCTTCAGCTGAATGCTAAACTGTACATGTTTAAAGGATGGTTTCATGAGATCAGGTTAAGAACTACAGTGGAGCTGTGAACCTACAGCTCACAGATGGTTGGGAGACAATCAGTTCCAACCAATTATAAGTAGATGCCTGGGCCTTTCAGTGGAGACCCCAGGAAAACTAAGGCATAGAAGTAGGGATAAACTAGTGTTGGAGTAAAGGCTAATCTAGACTCTCTCTAGTAAAATTTAAGAACAATCCTTGACAAAAATACAGAGACAGAAAAAATAGACAAGTTGGTTGCCTGGGGGTGGGAAAGAGGATAACTGCAAAGGGCATGAGAGAATTTGTTGGGGAGGAGACGATGGTACCTTCTATCTTGATTATGACAGTGGTTACCTGATTGTATGCATTTATCAAAACTCATAGAACAGTACACCTAAAAGAGTGAATTTTTGGTATATGGAAACTATACCTTAATTTAAAAATTATAAGAAAACAAGCCCTGAAGGGATCAAGCTGATCTTCAAGTAAATTGAACTGCCTGAAAAAAGCCAACCCTCTTTAGAGGAAACAATGCAGTATGGATACAATATAACAACATGTCATTCACAGTGCCTGGCAAGCATTTAAAAAGATCTCTGGATATGAAGAAAAAGAAAAAAAGTAAGCCGTGACCAAAAAACAAAACAAAACAAAAAGAGGCAATAGAAACAGATGTAGAAAATATAGAAGTGATGACAATTGCAGGCAAGATCTTTACAGCAGACATAAATGTTTCAAATGTCTTAATGGAACAGAATGAGAGAAATTGAAACTGTACAAACAACTGGATGAAATTCTGAAAAATGTGCTGGGTAACAGTAACACCAGCTTAGACACTTTAGAAGAAAAGTTCACTGAACTTGAAGACAGGGTAATAGATAATAAGCAAGATAAGGCTGATGGGGAAAAAGTCTGAATAAATGAACAGAACCATAATAACCAGTGAGACAACATTGAGTACTTTATGTATAATTGGGCTACCAAAAGGAAGAAGTGAAATGATGGTTAGAAAAAACTATTTGTTGTAACCAAGACCAAATATTTTCCTTATTTTTTTTTTTAACAATGAGGACCTTAATCCCAAGCAGGGTAAACACAAAGAAAATACTGCTAAGGTACACCATGGATATAGATTATGAAAATTGATGATAAAGAGAAAAGTCTTAAAAGGAATCACAAAGACTCATTACATAGTGAAGAAAAAAATGAATGCTGATTGCTCATCTAGAACAATGAAAGTACTAAAACAAGGCCATCTACAATTTTTATATCCTGCAAAAAATTCTTCAAGAATGAAAACAGTAATTAATCATCATAATACAATAAATGCAAATGGTTAATTTAGCAATAAAAAATAGAGACTCACATACAAATACAGTGGAATATTATTTTGCCATGAAAAATAAAATACGAACACCTGCTACAATGTAGAATGAACCTTGAATGTGCTTGGTGAGAGGAGCCAGATACAATAGCTACATACGGTATGATTTAACATATATTAAGTGTCCACAATACACAAATCTCTAGAGATAAAAAGAGTGGTTGGTAGGGAATGAGGAAGAGGGGACTTACAGTGGAAATGATTACTTATGGGCATGGGGCTTCTCTTTGGGGGTGATGAAATGCTCTGGAATTAGATAATGATAACAGTTGCATAATAACATTGTGAATATACTGAAAGCCACTGAATTATACACTTTAAAATGGTTAAAATTGGGAACTTTAATTGTTTCTAAAAACAAATCATTGCTGAGAAAAATTAAAGATTTAAATAAATAGATACGCCATTTCATGTGTTGCAAGACTCAATATTATTAAATGTCAGTGATTTTCAGATTGATGTATGGTTTTTATGCAATCCTAACCCAAATTTCAGTAGGCTCTTTTATTAGAAATTGGCTGATTATAAAATGTATATGGAAATGCAGAAGACATAGTGTGGCCAAAATTTTTTTGGAAAAGAACAAAATTGTAGACTTATACTACTCGATTTCAAGATTTACTATAAAGTTACAGTAATTAAGATAGTGTGGTATTGGCAGAAGGTCAGACATATAGAAAAATGGAACAGAAGAGTCCATGATCAGAATCATGTGCATGTGGTCAATTGATGTTCAACAAAGGACAAGCTAATTCAATTGGGAAAAGTAGTCTTTTCAACAAATGATACCAAACCAACTGAATATCCACATGGGAAAAAGTTAGAATTGATCCTTAACTTGCATCATTCATAATAGCTCAAAATGGATCATAGATCTTAAGAGCTAAAATTATAAAACTTCTAGAAGGAAAAACAAGATATTTGTGATTTTAAGGTCAACAAAATTTTGTTAAAATAAAAAATAATGGACTGCACTTCACCTAAGTTAAAAACAAACAAAAAAACTTCAAGAAAAAAGCTGTGTATCACAAACTGGGGGAAAAATACAAATTTTTAGAATAGCTAAAGAACTCCTACAACTCAGTAAGAAGACAAACAACCTTTTTAAATGGCCAAGTATTTGAACAGACGTTTTGCAAAAGAAGATACATAGTTAGCAAAAAAGCACATGACAAGATGCCTAATACCATTAGTCTTTAAAGAAATTCAAATTAAAAGCACAAATGGGATACTATTAGACACCAATTAGAATGACTAAAAGTTTTTTTTCACTGACTATAGAAGGCTTTGGCAAATATAAGAAGCAACTAGAACTCTCATTCATTGATGGTGGGGATGTAAAATGGAAGTACTTTGGAATACAGTTTAGTGATTTCTTACTGAAATTTCTCGTAAAATCGTATGACTAGAGGAAGGACCCAAGTTGAGGAGCGGACTGCAGATCGCATTCTGTGAGGAGTGGCAGGAGGGACTGGGATAGTTTACCCTGAACCCAAAGCTTCAGGAGTTTCAGTCACTGTTCTCCATCTCTGCAGGGCTCTCCCAGGGCCTGGAATTGTAAAACAGAAGCCATTGTAGGTTTCAGCACCTTTCCAGTGAAATAAGATGGAGTGTCTTAGGCTGAAACCCAAAGGCCATAGTGAAAAATCTCCCCAAGGACCCCTTTGTCTAAAGACCGGTTGTGCCAGAACTAGAGCTGACAAGATGTTCACTCCTCAAGTGACAAACATCTGCTGCAAGATTCTGATTTCTGCCAATATGGCAAATTGGCATAGACTGCTGGCTCCTTGTCTGCCAGTCAGCCCTGGAGAAACTGTGAAGCAAGAGAAAAGCATGGCTCCCAAGAACTAAATCCTTTGGGAAAACCCTGAAAGGCTAAACTTGTTTTGAAGCAGTTCATGTGAAAAATGTGGGTGGCTGCAGCCTGAGGAGGACAGAAGAGGGAGGTGACACTGGAAGACAGCTGCGTGAAATCCCTTTCTCCTCTGTCCCGCCTCCCCTCGGCATAGCTTTTGGAATTTTCACCTACCTCTTTACTTTAGCAACTACAGCAACAGACTAGGCTGCTGGTACAGAATGCAGGTGGTAATACTGAAGGAGTGTAAAGGCCTTGTCCATTAGGGTGTTGACACAAGCAGATGCTAACTGACCAGGTGCCAGATGCTGACCAACCAGGTACCTTTGACCAGCCACACCTTCATCTGTTCCTCTCCAGACTTCAGGGGCTACTGATTACAAGGCAAGGAGAGGCCCCTGTAGATGGTGGCTCTCCTTCCCTTAGAGGTTTAAGGTCATACCCTATATATAGGAATTGCTGGGGATGGGGGGTGGGACTGATGAACAGAAGTGGTATTTTGGGCTTATCCTTTCACAACTCTGATATAAAGTTGGACTTGGCCTTTCATTCTTCCCCAAAGCATATAACTGGAGTAGCTGACATGACCAAGGAAATACGAGCTCAAAGGCCAAAATAACTAAATAAAAGAGGAAACACTACTGTAAAAGAAAGATGAGACTCTGGACAAGAAATTTCCATTTGAAACTGAACTGTTGGTAAGAAAAAAATTGACTAAGCACAGTCAATATATCAAAGGATATATTAGCAATATGATTCCAAAGAAACCACAAAACAGTGGAAGTTTTAAGTTCAAAAAATATAATAGTTAAAGAATATCATATGTAAGATAAAAGCTGGAGAATCAGTTAATGGATTGGAAGACTAGACTGCAAAACTCTTCAAGAAAGCATCTAGAGAGGCTAACAATGCATAAATAGAAAAGAAACCCTAAGGATGTGGAGGACAGAAATAAAAATGTCAAAATCAGACTACAAGATTCCCAGAAAGGACAAAAAATAAAAATGCTGAGGAGGTACTATTTGAAAAAATAATGGAGATGAATACACCATAATTAAAGAAAAGACTTAGAATGAAAGGAATCAGAGTGCCAAACAGAAGAGAGAAGGAAAAACTCACACACACAGTGAAATCTAGAGAAAATCAAAATTCTGAAAGATAGCAGAGCAAAGAAACAAGAATCAGACTGACATCAGATTTTTCACAATAACACTAGATGCAAGAAGGAGGAAGTAATATTTTTTAAAAGATTGAAAGTGAAGTACCATAAGGGTAAGGATAGAGAAACTAAAGGGACATGACAACATGATAAAGTACTCAGCTTGTTACAAGGTAAGGTAGATATTGGTAAGTGTAAGAATCCATAGGAGAGACAGGAGGAAAAATGCAGAGTAGGAAGTGCCACAAATCTGTCTCCCCACCTACATGATAATTGCTCCGGTCTAGATGGCTTCAGTGGTTAATTATTTCAAACAGTTAAAGAACTAATACCAATTGTTCTTAAACTTTTCCCCCCAAATTGAGGAGTGGGTACTTCCATTTATGCCATGAGGCCAGCATTACCCTAATACAGAAGCCAGGCAAAGACACTAGAAGAAAACTGCAGACCAATATTCCTTATGAGCATTCATGCAAATCCTCATGAAAATACTAGCAAAAAGAATTCAACAGCATATTAAAAGGATTATTTATCATGACGCCAAGTGAGACTTACTCCTGAAATGCAAGGATGGTTCAACATACAAAATTTAATCAGTGTGATACACCACAGAGTGAAGGGGAGGAAAACATGACCAGCAAGGACAATAAAAGCCAAAATAACCAAATGGGACTACATCAAACTAAAAAGCTTTTGCACAGCAAATGAAATCATCAACAAAACAAAAAGGCAAACTACCATATAGGAGAAGATACTTGCAAATCATACATCAGATAAGGGTATAATATCCAAACTATAAAGAACTTACACAGTATCAAAGAAAAGCAAAAAATGGGCAGAATTCAACAGACATTTTTCTAAAGAAGACATACAGGTGGCCAACAGAAATGAAAAATGCTCAATGTCACTAATCATCAAGGAAATGCAAATCAAAATCACAATGAGGTACCACCTCATACCTGTCAGATTGGCTATTATTAAAAAGACAAAAAATAAGTGTTGGCAAGGATGTAGAGTAAAGGGAACTCTCATACACTGTTGGTGGGAATATAAATTGGTGCAGCCACTATGGAAAGCAGTATAGAGGTTTCTCAAAAAATTAAAAATAGAACTACCATACAATTCAACTTCTGGTTATTTTATTCAAAGAAAACCAAAACACTAATCTTAAGAGGTATATGCACCCCTATGTTAATTGAAGCATTATTTACAATAGCCAAGATATGGAAGCAACCTGTTTGTTAATAGATGGATGGATAAAGAAGATGTGTTCTATATATACTGGACTACTACTCAGCCATAAAAAGGAATGAAATCTTGCCTTCTGTGACAACACAGATGAACCTAAAGCATATTTTGCTAAGTGAAATAAGTCAAGGACAAATCCACATAATTTCACTTGCATGTGGAATCTAAAAAACAAAGCAGAAACAGATGCAGATATAGGAAACAAACAGTTGGTTACCAGAAGTGGGGGAGGATTTGGGAAGCAGGCAAAATAGGTGAAGGGGATTAAGAGATACAAATTTCCAGTTATAAAACAGGTCATGGGGATGTAATGTATACAGCATAGGGAATATAGTCAATAATATTGTAATAACCTTGTATGTGACAAATAGTAACATCAGGGGGATCATTTCATAATGTATAAAAATATTGAATCACTGTGATGTACACCTGAAACTAACACAATGTTATATCTCAATTATACTTCAATTTAAAAAAACATGATCATCTAGATGCAGAAAAAAGCATTTGATACCTTTTTGGCTGAGTAGTAGTCTAGTATATATAGATCACATCTTCTTTATCCATTCATCTATTAACAAACAATTAGGTTGCTTCCATATCTTGGCTATTGTAAATAATGCTGTAATTAACTCAACACCCTTTCATGATAAAAACACTCAACAAACTAGGAATAATAAAAATCATATATGAGAAACCCACAGCTAACATAATATTCAATAGTGAAAGACTGAAAGCTTTTCCTCTAAGATCAGGAACAAGGCAAGGATGTCTATTCTCACCACTTTTATTCAACATTGTACTGGAAGGTCTAGCCAGAGCAATTAGGCAAGAAAAATAACTAAAAAGCATCTAAATTGGAAAGGAAGAAGTAAAATTATCTCTGCAGATTATCTGACTTTATATGTCAAAAACCCTAAAGATTCCACCCAAACACCTTTTAGAGTAAATGAATTCATAAAAGAAGAAGGACAGAGATTCAAGATGGTAGCATGAGAGGTGAGATGGAGAACTCCTCCCAAAACCACAAATAGTACAATATAGTTAATTACTACAACTAACCATAAAACACCAACAAGAAAGAAGGCTGAACCAGACTGCCTACAGACCTCATGAACACAGCAGACCTCACGAAACAGGGTGACGTACGAAAACCTTAATCTGGTGGGACCC